TTAGAAAATAAGAGATCTTTAAAAGACGCTGTCAAAACTCACGGAGTACAAGCCCTGAAAAACACTTCGGGAATGGTGAAACAAAGAATGAATCTAGGAGGTACTAAGAAAAGAAGAAGAAAGAGAATGAAAAAACAGAGGGGATCGGGAATGGTGATTAAAATAATAAGAAGAAAAAGACGACAGAGAGGCAGAGGATTTTTTACAGATTTACTGAAAACGGGAGCTAAACATGCCTTGACCGCTGCTGCTAGAACGGGGTTAGATGTGTTAGAAAATAAGAGATCCTTAAAAGACGCTGTCAAAACTCACGGAGTACAAGCCCTGAAAAATACTTCGGGAATGGTGAAACAAAGAATGAATCTAGGAGGTAGTAAGAAAAGAAGAAAAAAAGACACCTGTGTTAGCCCGTGGAGGTCCTAAGAGAAAAAGAAAAAAACAAGGAGGAATTCAGACTAAGAAAACACGTCCTTTAGATATCTTTGATTGAGAGACTATAAATAGGGGAGACGAGTGAGATTGACCTTATTTGTGAAAAATCAATCTTAGTAGACAGACATCATGTTGCAACCAGATTCCTGTGCGTGTGGGATGAACAATTTACAATTGTTTCAAGTCCCCCCGACTAATATTGCTTTAGAAGACTCCAAATGGGAAGAATATTACCCCATTTCTAGTACTTTAGATTCGGATACGGCTCCCATTGAATTTGAAATTAAAGGACAAGGAGATCAATATCTGGATTTATCTCAAACGTATGTTCAAATGGTGTGTAAATTTACCAAAGACGATGGTACTAATCTGACTGGAGCTAACACCACTTGCGCCCCGGTGAATAATATCTTACATTCCTTGTTTACGGAAATCGATCTCAATGTCAATGGAAAAATAGTGACTCCTGGAACTGATACTTATCCTTACAAAGCTTATCTGGAGAAATTACTTTCTTACAAACCCAGAACTTTAATGACACAGATGAGAGCCTGTAGTCTGTGGGAAAAAGATACGGCAGGACACATGGACGAAGTGGGGGTAGCAGACCTTGGAGTGGCTCAAAATAAGACATTTGATGTAACCAAGGGTTTACTGGGTGCTGCTGATACTGTGGTCATTGACGAACCTATCGTCCCAGAGTTACCGGCCAATTCTAGAAACGAAGGATTTAGAAAACGTCACCAGGCCATCCATGATAGTAAGAAAATAGCCTTGTTTGATCGTTTACATCTGGATCTATTTCAACAAGACCGATTTCTACCCAATGGAGTAGATGTCCGTTTGAGATTTAATCGAGCTAGACCTCAGTTATATATGATGATCAAAGCAGGAAGTACGGGAAAAGTGAAAATATTGAACATAGTCTTGTGGGTGAGAAAAGTCAAACCCACGGCCGTCATGATGAATGGCATTAATCAAAGTTTGAACACTCATAGAGCTAAATATCCATTGAGAAGAGTGGAAGTGAAAACCTTTACCATACTAACAGGAACTCAATCTAAGATTACGGATCATCTGTTTCAAGGCCAGATGCCTAAACGTCTCATTTTAGGCTTTGTGGAGAATGCGGCTTTTAACGGAGATAAAACTAAAAATCCGTTTCATTTTCAAAACTTAGGGATTAAGAAATTAGATGTCAGTATCAACGGAGAGACCATGAGTACTCGTTGTTTTGAGCCCAATTTCAATGAAGATTTATATCTGAGATCTTATCTGAGTTTATATCAAGCCTTGGGAAAATTAGGAGAAGATTGGGCTCCGGACATCACCCTAGAAGAGTATAAAAACGGATACACTCTGTGGGGGTGGGATTTCACTAAAAGTCAAGAAGCGCAGTCGGACAAATTCCACATCATAGAAACCGGAAATCTGAGAGTAGAAGTCCAATTTACGAACAATACGGTGAACACCTTAAATTGTGTGGTGTATGCAGAATTCGATAACCTATTAGAAATTAACAAACAGAGAGAAGTGAGTATTGATTACTAATGGATACGGGACAGTTGAGAGAAGTCTTATCCAGAGAATTAAAGAGTTCTTTTGGTGGAGTGTACCCTGTAGATATATTACCGGATCAATTAAGACCTCAAGAAAAAGCCATCGTGGTGAATACGGATCCTCAAGATCAACCTGGAGAACATTGGGTATGTTTGTATTTGTCCAGTCCAGTCATCGAATATTTTGATTCTTATGGATTTCCTCCCTTACAAAAAGAAATTCAAGATTTTATCCATCGTCATGCTCAACAATGGATTTATAATCCGTACCGATATCAAGATTGGAATACAGATGTATGTGGACAATATTGCGTGTATTATTTACATCAAAGACACAAGTTGAGAAAGAAAGCAGACGAGTGGTTATTTCCCTTTGACCATAGTACAGCTTTACAAAGAGATCATTATGTAGCTCAATGGTTTAAAGACAGTTATCATAAAAGACCTACGGGTCATGGACAAACTTGTCAATGTTTCTATCAAAATGTCATGTAATTAATTGCTGTTATCAATAAAGAATTGGAAAAAAAAATCTGTTCTTGTTGGGTTTTTTTTTTTTTTTTAAAAAAGGGGGTTTTCCCCATGATACTAAATATAGATAGAAAAAAGGTATATAAAAAAAGAAAAAGAAAAAAAAATAGCCTCATTTGATCATGAGTCTCCAGGAGATACAGGGTGATTTATTAAACATTCCTGTAGAAGCTATCGTACATCAATGTAACTGTTTAACAGTCAGAGCTCATGGATTGAGTCAAAGTATAGCAGATAAATATCCTCAAGTGAATTTGTATGCCACCCGCAGACCTTTAGGGTCTAGAAATTTAGCCTTAGAAGAGGACAGGGATAAGCCAGGAACCATTAGGGTGTTTTCCTCACAAGCACCTGTGGTCATTTGTTTATTAGCTCAATGGGATTATGGCAGAGCAAGTCACAGACCTAAAAGAATCTCCACTTATCAGGACACCCCACAAAATAGAGAGCAATGGTTTCAAGCCTGTTTACAAGAATTGGGAAATTTACCTTATAAAACTTTTGCTTTTCCTTACAAGATTGGATGTGGCTTAGCTGGAGGAAATTGGACTCATTATAGACATTATATTGAACAATTTGTACACACTTATGAGAAACATGTGTACATTCTTCATAAACATTAACTGTGTGTGTGTGTGTTTTTTATGTGATATAAAATAAATCTTTTTTGAAATATATGGGTAGGCGTGATGATATTGAAAGTACCTTTTAGGAATGAAGTGCCATGCTCCAGCCTCCAAAAAGTATATATTTAAAACAGGAGAAGGTCCACAGCAGTCTGATGCACTCATAAGCAGATCCTTGGGTGGGGCCCAGTAGAAACACTAGGAATTTTTTATTTCCATGAGATCATCCACTTTGGCTCACACTACAGTTTTTCTTTTCCCCCTGTAATATAATGTCAATATTAAAATGGGAAAAATTCATAATTCATCAGCACTTGGAGATAAAAAAAAAACCTTGCTATCTTTAACAACTATGGTATTATAATTTACATTATCAATTATCTTTTACTTATCCATTTTTTTTATCATTTTTTAAAATATATATATATATAAACATGTATAGTAAAAACAGAATTAAAATTTGTATCTCATTGAAAACTTCAAAGTTTTGTTTGTTTCTATATGTTGGATGATTAACTGTGTGTATTTCCAAAAGGAAGAGCACAGCCCAGGCTTCACTTCATAGAGACTTGATTATAGATGGTTAGGAACCCAAAAAACATATCTTCCATGTTGAGGACTGTAGAAATAAAACCATTTTGTTATTATAACAAAATACTACATGAAACAATGCATGTTTAAATGTAATGGAATAAAAAAAAGAGTAATATATATATATCACGACCTAACTTATACTGGAATGAATGAAATTTCATTCATAAATATATATATATTTAAAAGACAAAAGATAAATACAGACTTATTTACTATGGACCATAAATGATGACATGAATAGCAGGCCATACTTTAAGCACATGACAAACCATTATCTCAAAATCATGAAGAACTGGGTTCATTAGCATAGCTGACATTAAAACATATAGGTGAGGGATAACATAATCACAACAATAAACAATGTGTAAAAATTTTTTAAACTACTTACAGGGTGGATTACACGCCTTGAACAGGGAAGGGGTAAAAAAACTTGCCGCGAGAGTATCATGGCGGCATAAACACAGAAAATTAAGTCGTACTTAAACACATTCCCTAATGATTTGAGAAAATCACTGTATTTCATGTGTATTTACTTCTTTTTTTTATTGGACATGGGGAGAGAAAGTCTATAAATTTTTTGTTGTTGTTGTTATAATCGAATAATAAATAAATAAATAATATGAGTTGACAAGAAAAAAAAATAATTATTTTATTTTAAGTGTTTATGAGTTTAGCAAAAAAAAAAAAAAAAAAAAAAAAAAAAAAAAAAAAAAAACAGTGACCTCTGGTGTTATTATACGTTTCTTTTATAACCGTGTATGTTATAGTTACACTATAGATATTAATTGGTCATTGGTAAATACACTCACAGTTTTTAATTCACGAGGGGCGGAGCCCCGAGTGAATTAAAAACTGTGAGTGTATTTACCAATGACCAATTAATATCTATTGTGTAAGTTACTTGTACCAGAGGACCAATCAAAAAGTTGAGCTAACGTTTTGTACCGCCTACTGCATGCTACATATTAATGATCAAATATTAACATTCAACACTCATTGTATGGACCAATGAAAAATCAAGATATTGTTTTGTACTGCCTACTCCTGTATAAAAGCTTAAAACAATTAAAATTTACAGTAGTTTAACAAAAATGGATCTCTGGAATGTTCATGAGATAGATGACATAACTTTGAGTCAGGCTGCAGAATTCCTTGAAGCCGAATCAAATTTTGAAAACTTGTCCTTAAGTGATTTCCTTGACATTGATTTCGGAAATTTTGATATATTGTCAATGGAAAATATTGATATTACAAGTTCTGATGTGAAAATGAAAACGGAGAATTCTGATGTGAACTCAGCTGGGTCGCGCTTCGGAGATCTAAAAGAGGAAGAGGATATAAATCGTCTAATTAAGGATACTGAGAGTAAACATACAAGAAAAAACTCCAATTGGAGTAAGAAAACATTTGATGAGTGGCGAGAGTACAGAACAAGCCAGACAAACGTCCCTATACCTGAGATCGAAAATTTTACAGAAAACGATGTAAATGTATGGTTGAGCAGATTTGTACTTGAAGCCAGACGCAAGGATGGAGCACCGTACCCTCCTAACACGCTTTATCAACTTTGTGCCGGACTGATGAGAGTACAGAAAGAAAGCGGAACTTTTATGAATTTTCTAGATGAAAAAAATCCTGTTTTTTTTCCGTTTCGACGAAGTTTGAGTGCAAGAATGGCTGAGTTAACAAAGCAGGGTGTTGGAACAGTAACACATCAAGCGGACCCCATATCTCGTGACAATGAGGAGGAACTCTGGTCAAAGGGAGTGTTTGGATCAGGAACAGCAAAATCACTTTTATATACAGTTTTCTTCTACAATTGCAAACTGTTTGGGATGAGGGGGACAGACGAACATAGAAACTTAGAGCTGAATCAATTTCAACTGGACAAAGAGCCAATGAGTCTTACATTCTATGGGAGAGCTAACAAAACCTACAAGGGTAAGTTACACTTTCTAGTTTTATATATTTATATTTTCATTCTTTAGAGTAAATAAATTGCGACAATATTTAAGCGTATCTTAGGCCTACTTTTCAATTATTGTTGCTAAATATCTGAAGATTTTTCTCAACTGTCTGTTTGTTTTATCTTACAAAAGGGGGGTGGGGGGTGTCTAAACACATTTGTGACTAAGAAATGAAAAGTTTCATAGGAACGAAAAAAATGTAAGAAATTTAATTGGTATTTTAATTTTAGGTGGGCTGAATCAGAGGCACATTTCTCCAAAAACTATTAAGCATGTGTTTTCTGACCCCAAGCTTTTCCTTATTTACGAGGAATACATTCAACTTGTTCGAATGATTTCTACTGATGAGAATGGTTCTGAACCATTTTATAGGCGTCCTCTGGAAAACAAGAATAACTTAAAAACATTTAGTAAGCAGTGTCTTGGTGTCAATAAGTTATCAAAGCTTATGAAAAGTATTTGTGAGGAAGGGGGACTCAAAGGCGCATTCAGTAACCATTCAGGGAAAAGAACCTGTGCAACGCAACTTTATCAAGCTGGAATTCAAGAGCAGGAAATAATGGGCCGTACTGGGCATCGTAGTGTACAAAGCGTAAGAAAATACAAGAGGCCTTCAGGAGAAATGTTGGAAGAAATTTCGAATGTATTGGAACCACCTGTGAAACGCGAGAAAGTTGAAATGGAGGTGTCCGAATCCACTGAGAGGATGTGTTCTAAATCTGGCTGCACTGGTGTTACTGCGTATAACAATTGTGTGTTTGAGTTCAAATTTTGACAGTACAATGCCGAATTCCCGAGTAATCAATCGTGTGTGTGGGTTTTTTTTTTTTTTTTTTTTTTTTTTTTTTTTTTGGTAAAATTTGTGAGGTACACAGAAATTAAAAAGAAATGTGAAATTATGTTATGTTAAAATCAAAGTTGAAATGTTTTTATAGCATAATTATGTGAAGTACACAATATAAGACAATCTAAGAAAAAAATTACAAAAATGAGAATTTATAAATGTTTTAATTTGTATTTGGAATAAATTGTATATTTAGTGCAATTGTGCAAAGTTGTTTGTGTAAAATGACATCATTCTTTCAGCAGCTTTGAATGTGCTGTCAAACTATGACTGAAATTGACATCATTCATTCAGCAGACAAGGTCTAAAATTTACACTGATCATTCATTCATCAGTCAAGGTCTTGACACTATGGCTTGATGCCAAAAGTGGGCGTGACTAAAAAAACTGTGATTCTTCTGGCAAATACACCACAGCAACATCAAAGTAAAATCTGAATTTACCGCCAGTCCTATGGTACAACAAAAAGGTATCTTTTCGTAAAATTTGGGTTGGCCCTTAAAAGGGCCGTTGTTGTTTTTTTTTTCTTCAGGGTTTACTCTCTGGGACGTCGGCCTCGCCCTCGACCAGTAGCTACTCCATTCTCTCTCCCCTCTATGGTGACCCCACGGCCTCGGCCCACAAACTGTCTCCTGGGTGTTGGAGGAGGAGGAGGGGTAGGAACAACGGGCTCTGGGCATCCGTATCGACAGAGGGGGCAGCCCTCTCCTCGGTCGATGAGGCGGGCCGCACAGAGGAAACATGCTGGCCTCTGGCGGCATCGACCACAGACGAAGTTGGATAGCTCATCGTCGCATAAACAGAGAACGCAGTGTCCCTCCGCCACAGCAGCCTCGATCCCCCACAAGGGAATACATCCCTGAAAGACCGCTCGGTCCTGGGGTGGTGATGGTGGTTGTACCCCGTTGAGCAGGCGGTGGAGCGCTCTGACCGGCGATGAAGGGGGGGGGGGGGACTCCGGAGTGTCTGGCAAGTCGAAGTTCCTGCCCTCCTCCTCTGGCCGCGGATGATAGATGGGCCCTGGCTCCCTTCTGCGCTCTGCCGCTGCTGCTGGCGATGGCCTGGCATAAGGAGTGGGTCTGGATCTCCGGGTGTTGGTGGCGATGAAACTGTTCAGATCTCCCACACGAATGCGCCCCATATTAAATATGGCAAACTCCTCCCCGGTGTCCTGGTTCCTAACAACCATCTGCAAAATGACCTCCACTCCAGGTTGTATGGCAATGTTCTCGGTAAACAGAGACATGATGCTTTCGTTGTATGGCCGAAATCAGCTAGGTAACGAATGACAGTTAACAGCTGATCAGCGTCGGTATTTATACACACAGCGCGAGCCGAAAAGAGAGCACTCTAAAAGCCCGGATGACGAAGAGCTCAGAAAATCATGGAAAAATCAAAATTGTGTTATTTGTGTTTTGTGAATACCTCTATTGGATTAAATAACATATTATGGAATTATATATACATTCAAACCTTCTAGTTATGAGATGAAGGTAAGTTTTGAGAATGATTTCACAGTATTTTTTATACATGACATTATTCCCTTGTTTAGAACAGGCTCATTCATGCCGAAGCGAAGGGTTAACCTTGACTGACCTGAATACGTAAAATAAGTCGTTTTAGACTTTTTAGAGTGTAACAAAAAGAAAACTTATTGTATACAATAAGATTGAACTTAGGGAAGAGTGTTGGTATAGTTTTCAGATCAAAAGAATCGTTACAAGTGTAAAAATAAACTTAGCGTCGGTTTCGGGATAAACATAAGGGAGGTCAAAGGTCAGCCATTTTCAGAAAATCAATGTATAAGACTTGTATAGGGAATATAAGAATCTTTTCGATCCTGACCTTTTCAGATAAAAATTTTGAGATGAATAGAATCAGATTGATTTAAAAACAAATTGTATACACTTTATTTGCAGTGGGAAAGTTTAGATTTTTTTAAATAAGAACAAAACATCCCAGCGTCTAAATGTATAGACTTGTATAGGGAATATAAGATTCTTTTCGATCCTGACCTTTTCAGATAAAAATTTTGAGATGAATAGAATCAGATTGGTTTAAAAACAAATTGTATACACTTTATTTGCAGTGGGAAAGTTTAGATTTTTAAATAAACCAGGATTTTATAGACTCAGAGTCTAACGGATACATGATGACGTCATTACTAAACAACAACAATAACAAAAAGCTTAGTGTCTTTTCATCCTTTTATTTTTTTTGGTTTAACAATTGTTCCAAATGTTGAATTCTGCGTTGAAATCTTATTCGATCGGCTACTAGAGCCATCCATTCACTTTTCCGATCTTCGGGTGGTAAATAATGAATTTCATTCAAGTCTGTATTAAAAGTCACACATTTCTTAGTCTCTCTGAAATTTCCAGATATTTCATCCCGTATTGAATGCATATTTTCTCCATCGATTCTATTTCCTGGTAGAGTAAAATCACTTTCCTTGCTTGGGGATGGCATAAAAAAGTGTAAGGCTTTCCGAGATAGTGGGTTCTGGGGCAGAGTTTCTTTCATGCGTTGACATAGAAAATGCAGTGTAGCTAGTCTCCCCAGGTTGGGAGGATGTAACAGGGCCAGGCATTGTAACCATAAGTCCTGAATGGTTTCTATGATGGTAGTGGCTCTCTGAAAGACTTGTTCTGCCTCGGGAGGAAGAGGTTGTTCGTGTTGTTCTATCCATTGCATTAACAAATCATAGCCTTCTAAAATCAAAGAGTGGTATTGCTTCGACATGACAATTGATTATGAACAGGGGACAAGATATTTATCTTATTTATACCCCTGTTTTTTAATTTATTTTTAGACTTTGGAAAAACCAATAGACTTAATTTTTTTTTTTTAAATTTATTTTAAGACTTTGGAAAAACCAATAGACTTAATTTTTTTTTTAAATTTATTTTTAGACTTTGAAAAAACCAATAGACTTAAATAGAGTAAGAACGTGTTAAGCACGTGTGGGTTTTTCCCAGATCTCACATCTCAGGAATTTCCAGATCTCAGAAGGTGCTGAGCGCGTGTGGGTTTTTCCAGGACCCCTTCCTTTAAAAAAGGTATAAAAACCAGCGCAGAGAGTGTATGGGTCATCATTTTCAGTCAGAACTTTTTTCAGAAGTCAGACGTGTATACCATGGCACAAGCAATGATGAATACCAAAGACAACCCTAATTATGTGACACCTGAAGGCTATGCCATAGCCCCCATGCCAGAGACTCAGGATCCTGTAGGACTGGACTTGGGATTGTATAATTTCCCAGAGGCCATGACCAAAGAGGACTTTGGTATTTTAACCAACACGTTAGAGGGGATCGTCAACATACTAAACCAGATGCAAGTGAATGCAAATAAGTTTGAAGAGAAAGTCATAAGTGAATTCGTTGACCTGAGAGACAAAATGGCCCAACTGGAGGATAAAGTGTGGAGAATAGAAGAAAAAGGCAAAGGTAGAGAACCCACAGACACAGAAGCTCCAAAGAAAACCAGAGAGACCAACCCCTGTTTCATCTGCAAACAGTTAGGACACTGGGCCCCTGAATGTCCCAAGAAAGACCTATGCTACAAATTAGGAAAATTTGGACATTGGGCCGATAAGTGTGACCAAAACAAACTGTCTGAGAAGAGACTACCCAAGCCCAAGGAAAAAAAAAAGACGCAGGAGAACATGAGTCTCCAGGAGATACAGGGTGATTTATTAAACATTCCTGTAGAAGCTATTGTACATCAGGAGAACAAAGAAAATCTGATTCCACTGGACCAGCCTAAGAAAAGAAAACAGAAGGGAGAGGTCAAGAAGTCCCTGAAACTTCAAAAGAAGAACTGACTTTGTATCATACTTAAATAAAAAGAGTTTTTAAACTTTAACATTCACTTGTTTTTCTTTTAGAATAACAGCTGTAGATCAGCTGATTTTAAAGTGTCAAAATTAAGCAGCCAGAGAGGCGATGAAGGACTAGGATGACGTCATAATCAAGATTTGAATCGCTGCCAAGTTTAGGGCTAGGTAGGATCTCACATGGATTTTTTTTGTTTTTTGTTTTTTGTTTGTTTTTCAGGCACTTTAAGGGCCTAAAAGTGCACTCCGTTGACCCGGCCATCCCTTAAGGGCCCCAAAAGTGCACTCCGTTGACCCAGCCATCCCCCCCCCCAGGGCCCAAAAGTGCACTGAGTTGACCCGGCCATCCCCCCCAGGGCCCAAAAGTGCACTCAGTTGACCCCCCTAGCTAGGCTTCTTATACTACTTTGGCACAAAGTTTTTAACAGTAACCATTAGATCTAAAGGTTAGTTAACAGTTTATTTACTATTTAAGACATTTTAAAAGCACATGTTCAACTGTATTTCAAAACTCTGCAAAACATTTGTTGTCAATAATTAAAGCGTCGTAGAAATAAAAAAAATTGTTGTCATTGTACAGGTATGAATCTACCAAAGTAGGGAAATTGAAAAAGTCCAGGACACCTTGGATTATGTGTGTGGATCAACCCTTTTTCCATTTGGGTCCAAATACTTTGCCACTGTTTTTGTACTACAGTCACAGTAATGTGCAAACCCTATGGAAACGATTTACAGTACTGACCGGACACAACCGAACCCAAAGCGCACCCCGGGATCGCTTCCTGGGTTCGCTGCGGGTCCGCTTTCAGGAAATTTGGGACCGCTCTGGGTGCGCTTTGGGTTCTCTCTGCGTTCGCTCGGGGTCAGCTCTGGGTCCGCTAGAGCGAACCCGGCGTTCGCTTTCCGGGTTCTCTTTACGCACTCATGCGTGAAGCGGATCCCGCTTTAATCTCGCTGCCAGTAAGCTCCGCCCCTTGTATATTCCAAATACAGTAGTGAAATCGATCGTCACTGTTTTTATGGCGATCGAAACATGTACATGTAAATGACAATATGGAGAACGTTGATAAATTTTCAAGAATTTCACCGTACATTCGACGTAGAATTATCACATTT